CAATCAAAGCTTGTTCCGAATCCTAGTAAAAACATATATCGGGATTATTTCTTATTACTATATTCCAATTACTAGATTTCTTTTATTTAAGAAAAAAGTAGCTCATACAAGTATTTACGTCACATTTTCAGTGATAAAAACAGTCAAAACTCCACATATTCAAATAAAGTGAACCAATATATGACTTATTCAGAAGCATTTCTTGGAAAGAAATTGGTTGTGGATTCATCTCACAGCAGACAAATCGTTTTGGCTCAAAATATGAAAGAACAAAAGGATGGAAACTCAAAAACAACACTTAATGTTTTTTTCTTTCTTTTTTTATGGTGAGGTTTTATTTTCCTTTCATGGACGATTTTCACACTTGTTTCAAAACTCCTCCTGAATTTCGGAAAGGCAATAGCTATACTTAACAATGTGTCTGACTTTTAAGTTATCCTTACCATAATCCTTAGCGGGCTTCTTGAATTTCTTAATGACTCTCTTCATTGAATCGATCACTATAAAAAGCAACAGTGKTCACATGATTATGGCTAGTTTCCTTCATAGAATCTCCTTTWGTTGGTCTTCCTGTCCAGTCCCAAAATTGAAATTTGACAAAACCAAAAGCATACATAATAGTGCCGTTCACTCTCATAGTGATTGTAGTTTTGTCTGATTTATAAAAACAGGTTCTACCGTGTTTTCACTCAAAATKTTCTTTAAGTTATGGTCTTTTCTTCTTCAGAGAGTTTTTTTGTGATGCAAAGAGGAAATATTCAGGCAAAGAGTCCATTTTTTCATCTGTGTCATCTTGAAAGGAGGGTGAAAGAACAATGGTGAAAAACGCACTGCGCATGTCCACAGCTTTCCTGCTGAAGTCTGCCTAATTTTCTTTGTAAAGCGGTTTTTGTGAAAGTTTTTTTTACAATTTTATATAAGCTCGTTCACCGTTATATAAGATTCATATTTCCAWCAATCATTGTTCATGATAGGTTCTTTTAGTAGTAGTTTGTATTTTTATCTTGTCATTTCTATTTTGAGAAAATGAGGTTTTTCGTAGTGTTTTTAGCTGTGTTGTCGCTGTAAATCGCCAGGCGCTTTGTTAACTGATTTCAAGACGCGAGCGCMCACTGGCGGRAAAGCTGTGGGCWTGCGCAGTGCGTTTTTYACTAGTKTCGGGTGAAAGTGATTTAATGGTGGGCTCATTCAGGCAATGATAAGTTATTGTGAATAATTTTCATGTATTTAGATGACAAACTTACGTTCATCCCCGTCTTGGTAGTAATACTTGACATGCTTRTAGTTCGTTCCTTCATTCCAAAAACCACTCATGACTTTACCGCTAGGATCTACATAGTAACCATAGAAACTGTCAATCATCTTTGTAACAATCGTCATCACTACTGTAACGATGTTATCGTCCTCAGAGGACCACATGTTTGGCAGTATTGACCAGTCATGTGATACCCTCTTAAAATAGAGTTCATTAAATTATCATTATATTCATCAACAATCATTACCATTGTCATCATAAACATAAATGATGTTATACTTTGTATTTATTCATCTGATAAAGTAAACAAAAGTTTAACTAACATCGAATATTGTCACCGTTATGAGTTACGCATGTTTAGTGACTACTAAGCCTATAAGTGTGGTTTTCGTGTGAATACGACCGTTGCGCCCCAACGACCAACGCCGGTACGTAGGCGTAGTAATATCGTGGAACATCTAAGGGTGCGTTAAAATGTGAATATTTTGTAACCGTTCCTGTACTTTCAGTTTCCAGCATAAAATTATGAAAATTATTCTTATATCTCTCTATTCACCCTATTTCCCTGGCTCCTTAATATATCCATGTCTTGCAAATCTCTTCCTTTTGCGAATGGTGTTAGAAAACGTCACACCAAATCAGTTTCCATTATAATGTATACTAACCTAGGAACAGTATTCTYGGTACATAATCACCGTCTGGTGTAAACTCTTTGCCTTCTGGTCCTTCRTTCTCCTTTACATTCACCATAACAAACTTCTTGCTCCACTCGGCCAGCTTCTTATCGGTAGAAAAACGTCCTTTCAAAGCTGGAAAACAATAACATATTTTAGAATAATGCTTTGTAGGATACAAGCAGGCATATACAATAAATAGAAGCTGGCAGATCTAGATCAAGGGAATGACTGATCAAAGTTTAATAGGATTGAAAGACAAGGTGTACCTTTGCATGATGGGCAAGTAGTCTTGCTGAAKATGACCACCATAGGCTTGTTACTGAAAACGAGCGAAAATAAAAATAAAATGTGTAAAATACAAATAATCTAGTGCGTAACATAATAGTATAGGATGCACATGAYGAGTTCTATTTTATTGTAATTATAGTTTTACCTCTTTTTAGCTTGTTCCAGGCCGTCTTTGTAAGTACGCCATTGGATAAGATTGCCGAAACCTATAMATATTACATTGGGATACCTGTGTCAGCCTGTGATAACTTTGTGGTGGGAACTAGCGGTAAACTGGTGTGACCTTTACTCCTAAATGTCAGTAAGTTATTTCACCTACTTTTTTACGTTGTTAAATGTATATCTTACACAACGGAGAAACTTTAGACAGATTCACTGTAAAGACGACTCACCATTAGACAGATCGTCTTGAAGACCACCTTTAGGTGTCCACCATGGCTTCTTTTCTTCTTTTGTTTCTTCTTTTGTTTCTTCTTTCTTCTTTTCAGCTAACAATCAAACAAGTTTTGTTATTTCTTCAGATCCATTTCAGATTTTCAGATCCACAAAGTTATATTATGTAATGTGTTTTTTTCTTGGTTTTGAAGACTCCATCCTTCCTCGGTATTAAACGATGAGCTATCGAAAAAAATATCTACCTTTCTTTGTTTCTTCTTCGGTTCCTTTCAAAACTCTTTCCATGGCTTTGGTCACTAGCGATATGAACAGGATGCGTTAAGCTAACTTTCTCCAAACTAACATACAATTAATGAATTGAAAAAAGTAAATGTTTTTTTTAACACTGTGAGGATAAAGAAAAATTGTTCACTCTTTTTGAAGAACATGCTCCAATACGCCTTGCAATTGCCTATTTTATTATGACGCCACAAAATGTTACATCGAAAAACGATGMTCAGATCACAGTAGAAATTCGGACCCATTCATATTGTCTCATAAAGTACATCTTCAATGTATCGTGTTTTGATATATATCATGTATAAATGATTACTCATGTACAATTTATTGGACATGCCGTCACTCTGATCACCTCTGGAGACCCTAATCATTAAAACAATAGAATGGTATGATGTGACGTTATAATCAACAAGGGCAGTGTTTGATATATAGCTCAGCCTCAATCAAAAATTGTGTGAAATTAAAGATTATTGTTGTTTTCATCAAAATAAATGCATCATTACATCATCATCAGTATACTTACACTCATCGGCTTTGCTGTAGTAGTATTTTGTGTGGGGATATTCAGTGCCCTCATTCCAGTATTTCTCTATCA